GCGCCTTATATATATATATATATTATTGTTAGTTTATCGACAAAATATGAAAACCTTTCGTCTCGCAAATGAACAAAATATTACTGAGAATCAACACTGTAGATTTCCCAGATCGTATATACTTACCACCCCCACAGGCATGAAACAAAACTCTAATGAATTAATAGAACAATGCTACAGCCACATATTCTTTATCTACAACTACGTACTCACCAAGGTAAACTGAAGACATCTTTGTGGAGACATTTTCATCTAAATAAGTACAACCTAGAGTATAGAAGGGAGAGGCTCCGGCTCCATGAAGCAGTTGTCCCAAAAAGAATACGTATTTGTAGTAAGACAGGCCGTAACTGACGTTATTATTACAGTTAGTCCAGTTGTAGTTAAGGTTGCACACGTCTTGTGCTTCCTTACTGAATGTGTACGTGTCAGATAAAAAGTGTGGTAGCGAAAAGACAAAGGAGCCCAAGGCCAAAACCAGAACACCACCGCCGATGATATGCGGTTTGTTGCGGGTTCCACCAAGATAGCTGACAGGTATAAGGCACAAGAAAGATGCTATATCATAACATCCTGCTATTAAACCGCTCTCACGACTTTTTAGATTAAATCTTCGTTCGATGGTTGTGATGACGACGTTCACAAAGCCGTTTACAATAAGACCTTGCAAAGCTCCGGCCCAACAGATCCAGAAAAGCACCCACCTCGGTGTTCGAAACCTCTGAAGACATAATGGATGGATCCCAAACCACCCGCAAGGCCCACCCTGATCATTGGCGTTCAAAGTATCACAGGCCTGTAGTTTATCGCTTCCTTCTGACATGACTTCGGGATGCAGTGTTACGGTTTCACTATGGTGTAAGCCATCGGCAACTAGAGGTTCCTGGCTGCGAGAGACATGGATTGGACCCACCCAGCTATCTCCACAAGGTAAGGACGAATCTTCTCGTTCCATATCACTTTTGAGTCTACAAATAATAAAATATGGAATTACTAAATACAAACACGTAAAATTAAACTGACAAGATAATGACCGTCTACAAATTTAGTTATTCACAACACAAACACACATAAGTCGTTACTCTGAAATGTTTCCCTTTTCCACGCACAAAGAATATGCCTACGATTTCGTATAGTGTTGAATATGTTTCTTGAACAAATGAACAAGTGCCCTCTGGTGCAGAGTAGCTGTCCTACGAAACGATTATACGTTTACCTGTTAAAAACACTCAGAATATAGACCGTATATTTTACCACCTACAAAAATGTTTTCACAGGTGTTATTATAGAGCTCACACATGCTTTTCTTTCCTTCATTCATTTGTAGTCTTTCCACTGCAACGTATACTTTTCTGGCAATAAAATAATTGTGTGGTATCGGGAAAAACCTGCTTGTGAACCAGTGCACAATCGTTTGTTATATTTTTTACAGTTTCTATAGTAAATAAACCATACAATATCCAGCACTGGGGGTCTTACGTCAGGATCATCCATGTTACCGGTTTGTGATTTTCTGAAGACATCCTTGCGATTATAGGCGACATGTGGCTTTACTCTTGTCACCTTTAATCCGCAGTGATTCACTGTACGCATGCAGTAATGTGAAAGGTATTATTCTACCTCGTGGAGCAGTAAAAGGGAAAAATCTGACGAACTACTATTCTTTCAGTAAGTGTGCATTATTCTGATGCTCCAAACATAGAAACAAAAATCAAAGTGGGTGACTCATTTAACGTCAAAATCTAATAAAACGACATAAAATTAAGTGTGATTACACATTTTCCAAAGTTTGTTTAATTTAAGTAAATATGTGGTTGCATATCTAACAAGTTTCGCGGTTTATAGAATACACAATATGGATTTTCTTAGAGATACATAAATAGTTTAAACATATGTATTTTTCAAAGACACGTGTTTTAAAAATAGCTTCTTAAACCATGTTTTAAAGCTAGTGGCATTGACTGTCCTGACTGTTCAGATGTCAAGAATACAGCAACAAAAATCAACTAGATTTCGCACTAAGTTATATGTTTCAATCACATCCTGAGTGAGGTGATGCAACTGGAAGGTTTTGTGCATTAAAACAAAGGACTGCAATTTACTGTTTAGTTATTTTCATGTAATAATTGCAATCGCTTTAGTTTCAATCTCGAAATAGTGTAGGTGAGTCCCAAGACATGAATTTATGCGCTATTCAAATTACAGTAACTACGTACGAAAGCTAAGTAAATAATTACCGCACACATACAAACTCCTTTTGATATAAACAAGAGGAAACCCTCAATAGCCCCGGCTGTAATTAGATTTTAAATCGATAAAGAGATGGAGCTACGAGTTAAAAGTTTGTACTTGAAAAACAACTCAGCCATTCTATGAGCCGCTATGCCGCGGCAAAAAAACAAAATCAGACTGGAGAGTACCTCTTACACAACGATTTGTTTTAGTTTGTTTTAAATTTAGCGCAAAGCTACTCGAGGGCTATCTCAGATTGCGAGTCAAGCTCACTAACCACCTGGCCATGCAGGCCTTCTTACACAGCAAGTCTGTGTGTAAATGTATCTATACACATATTTTTAATATTTATCAAACGCAACTGAATACTTTGTTTACTTGTATTAATCACATTGGAACGTGTAGTTTTATTTATATACGTTTCACTTATATAAATTTTACTTCTTTTGCACATTAATCTCTGCTAAACTGACCAAATGTTTGACATTAATTCCCAACAGATGGCTTGCAAGCTTCATTTACTCAAGTTATTCCATTAATTAGTGTCATGATTATCAGTGCAATGCTTTCCATATTTTTTCGAAGGAAGAAATGTAGGATAACAAATTACTTTCAGTCCTGAGCCAATTCATACAAGTACTACACAATTTCTGAAAAGTGCTCAAATACATTTTGCATGTTAAAAGTTTTTCATCTAAAGCAATGTAATTTATGTTTAATGGGAGTTGTTTAGGTTCTTTTCACACTGACCAAGTTAGTTTCAAAACCTAGGTCATAAGAACGGAAAACAAGCGACATCATTCATGCTCTCGGGCACAACTCCAAGGCATGAAGACCAACGTTCTGAAACTCAGAATGACAGAAACCTGTAATGTAAAAATGCTTCGGCTCCTACCAGTGCTACTTTGTTGGACACCAAGCATTTCATAACCGAATACGTGTTCAGACAATTTTACTTTCTAGTCTCTAAATGTTTTTCTTACCCTTCAGCTTCCAGGGAAAGAGGATATTAAACTACGTCCAATTTACCATTCTGATAAGGGGTGGTTCTTATAAAGATCGTATTTTCTAACCGTTAGACAATCTTACTTGCACCTATACGAAAAGGCTTGTCTCCAATGTATCCATACTAAAATCATATTTCATGGTAAACGCAAGCTAGAAAAATATTGAACCTTTATTGTACAATGAATAATTTAGAATGAAACTTTTTGACGCATGTTAACTATTACTAAAGATCTGTCTTCTAACATATTTGGTGTTTATATTGTTTTTTCATTCAATTAATACTTTTTAGCGATACTTATGAAACGATTTCATACTGAGTTCTTTAAATTTTAACAGTATACCTCAATTATCAGTATACTTTACAATGTATACATATGAGTGTACTCACATATAACCAAATGTTGCATGTGATAAACACCAATTTACTTTAATTATTTGTTAAACAGTTTATTTGCCTATAGTTAAACATAAAGCTACACAGCTACAGAGATCGAACCCCGAATTTTAACGTTTTATTCCTTTAATTTTGCCGCTGAGCCACCACTGAGGATAAAATCATAAGAAAATATAGATTGTACAGTTTACAATTTACTCATAAGAGTTTTGCTTGTTTCAGAATGTCATGCAAAGCTACATAATCGCTATTTGCATATATTATTCAGACAGATGGGCTGGAAGGGATGCACTGCTATCTCATGGGCTACTTTTCTCCGATCGAATAGTGGTTTTTTTCATAGTGTACCCACAGTCCCAAAATGCGGAGTGCGATTTTGTGAATCTTTTGATTTACAGTTACGGTACGCTAACAGTTAAGCCACACTCGGTCTCACCAATAAAATAAACGTATGGCGCCTTCATCCGTTTCAAAAACAATGATGTATGAGCTAATCTAGGATAAGGGTAGGTGCCTACAAGGCACATTGCTAAAATACTAAAAATACAACACAGAAGTCTTGTAAGAACTTGAGCAACTGGAGATGCTTTATAATTTACAGTGAATTAAAACAATACCATGTAAATGTCATAATTCAAAGGTTCAAAAACATTAAACTGCAAAACTAGAATTCTGGCCATCCATATTTGTGGGCTACTTGGTAAGAAAGCCTACTGATTTTTTATTTTGGTTTTGACATAATATTAGTTGAGTGACATATCTATCACTCATATAACTTATTCAGTTCCAAAAATTACGATAAAAAAATAAAGCATATATATTTAATGATTTAATTACACCGGGAATTTTAAACTGACCTTCAATATACTGAAAGTCTATAATATACAACAAAATATATGAAGACAGAACACACAAATGAAAATTAACATATAAAAATCAAATTGACTAATTTTTGTCACGAGCGTTAAAATGGGAAAACTGCATTCTTCATTACTATTCAAACAATACTGTGCTCTTCTGAGACTTTTTAATACCAAAACAAATATAATCTATGCGTTTTTTAACGCTACTTTCAAATAAGTATAATCTCGTGGTTCGACTTGCGTAACAACTAGGTTGAATTTGTCGGTCAAATTTGTTTCATCACAGAGATTTTGCTAATTTACATTTGAAAATAGTGAACTTCTTATTTGATATCAGGTTGGTAATTTTCAAAACAAACATCTTTGATAAATAATGACGGTAGCTATAGTTATAGCACTTTTCATCCAGAGTTTTGTACACGCAAAAGTATTAGGTCGTCAAAAAAATAATGTCGCGCTATGGAACACTTTCATTAACCACCCCCCAAAAAAAGTACATCACGTATAATAGTTAAACAAACCGCCTAAATGTCACGTTAGTGTAGCCTATATAATACGTAAAGTTTAGTATACTCTAATCCTTTATAGTGATGACACACGACGAGACACACATTCGGAATGTAATGCTGTTTGAATATAAGAAAGGCAACAATGCCTCTGTAGCCACATACGATATCAAATAAGTTTGTGTTTTTAACTTCGTAAGTGTCAATGATGGTTCAGCAAATTTCGTTCAGGTGACTTTAGCCTTAAAAACTGTGATGGTAGGGACCGACATATTGGAATTGATGCTCTGAAAACGTTTGTTGAATCTAACCCAAAGCAACACACTCGTAAAATGGCCCTGAAATTGCATGTCTCTCATGAAACAATACGTAAACATCTAAG